GACCTGAGCTGAAGGCAGACACTTAACTGACTGAGCCACCCATTATATTACCAAGTGCCCCAGTTATATTATCATTTTAACAACTGTTTTTACATCCCAGTGGCAGGGATGAGAAGTAAGATTTTAATTTAAATTACCCAAGTATGAATCACCAAAGGAAGCCCCATCATTCCATGACTCTCATGTACTTCTTCTCCTCACTGGACCATACACATGCCAGCAGCAACTTCTGGTTCGGTGTGGTTACTAGCACCCAGTTCTCTGACCAATGTCATCAACGATGCCAAAAGCAAAACCCTAAGATCTCCTAACACCACCACTGAGGTCCAAATGCTGAGGGCTGATAGAGGAAAGAGTTTAAGTGGCAGACCTCTTGACTAGCCCCCCCCACCCCTTCTTTGTACTTCCAGGCCCTTCCCCTTAGAGTGACAGGGTGTTGTCTGGTATATTCCAGGTCTCCCAGTAATTTCCTAGACTTCATTCTCACAGGAAGGAAATATATAAAAGCCTTCAGTATTGTTCAATTCAATCCTTCTTGTGCTACATCTAAAGGAAGTTCTCCCAACACTTCAGTTGGAGAGTGACAATAATTCTTCCCCCTTTTGAGTATTTCAGTGGCCACTTAAGTAGTAAAACTGGTGTGGAAAGAGAAGGGAGCGTGCTCTTAAGTGCTTACATTGCATTTTCCCTGAGGCAGTATTTTAGGATGATTAACCTGTCATTTGCTGTACAGAATGGATCTGAACAGGTTGGTGGGGGGCCTTTGAAATCAGTGGTCTACCGGGAAGAGTCTGGGGTTAGCACAGTAGGTGACCCAGATTCGGCTTTGGCTCTGCCACTGACCACCCGTGGACCTTGCTCCACTCACAGCCTTTCACTATGCCTGCAGTCTTTTATCTTTCAGCACTAAAAGTCTATCATTATATATTTTGGAAATACGTAATTTAGAGAATCCTGTATTTAAGGATGGATATGCCACAGATTTTATCGTATTTCTTGAAACTACACATAATAAAAAAGGCTGAAAGACTGACAGAAGATGGTTGGCTACAATATGACTCCTTGGATCCTCACATCAAGAACCTACTTTTGGACCATTAGAACTCCTGATCACTTTGCCTCATGTTAATGACTCATACGTTAAAAAGATAGAGCATATTTTTTAAACCTGATCCTCACTTTTATATCTGTCTCACTTTAATCTCTGAGCATCTTTGCATCTTTCATCATATTGCTCATATCAACACATATTCAGGTCCCATGAACTGGTACTAGTCTCCCCATGCTACTGGGCTCCTGGCCACCCTCCTCCCTTCCTGATGCCCAGCAGCCACTAACAAACACCACTGTCCTGGGTGCTGACACAGAAGTTACCTTCAATTTCCACTGAGGTCACTCTGATGCAGAATATCCTACAACTTGGGCAAGGAAAGGTAATTCTAGCTATTTAAAGAAAAGCACTTTAGTTAAGTCTGGGGTTTCTTTCGCAGTTTTCTTTCTTCAGAGAAGCCCCAGGTACCACAGCTTTGACTCTGCCCTTCCCAGTCATGGCTAGTCCATGAGTTTTGCCCATGTCCCTGGCAAACTTTAATCTCCTCAGGTTTCTTTCTCTATATTTCCTGGAGAGTACGATTCTGGCTCTGAGAAAAAGGTCATTTACAAGGAAGACACAGTTCATAGGCGTGTAGTTGCTCCTAGCCTGTCATCCCTCTTGGTTCAGCTGTTTGGGAGAAATACCACAAATAGTTGTAAAAGGAGGATCTGAAGTGGGTACTAAATTATGACGTGCTGCAAACACTAGAGAGGAAAATCAAGCAAGGCTCTTGGCACTATGGAAAGGGGAAAAAAAGTTTAAATCGTTCTCTTCACAGAATTGACCAAGGAGATTTAGCTAAAGGAAATAAAAGTATATGAATTTGAGAACTACAACAAAGAACTTCTGGGCCAAGCGGGGATGAAGAAATGGCCGTAAAGCAACAGGATTAAAAAACGAATGTGCTCATAAAAAGTTTTCAACGGAACAGACAGAAAACAAGTTATTTTGGTTAATTGTTCAGTGGGGACAGTGGTTTTGTTTTACAGATGGGAAACTGAAACCTTTAGAGGGAAAGTCACTTGAATATTATCATAAAGAAATAGGACCCCACTGCTCTGATTCTCAACTCTCTTTGCATCAACATCCAAACGACATTCCATCTTTTATGTTCTATTGTTCTCTAAACTCAACCCTCTAGGATGTGGAAACTTTGATGCTCTTGGAAATTGCTTCTATATTTGTCCAATGCCAACTTCTGTGCTAGGAGAAGTTTGAAGTTCAACCCAAAAACACAGGGCCTGGCACGGTCAATAGCTCATTACAACTTCTCATTAGTTGTGTCTCTTGGGGCAACTATGGCATTCCTGAGTGTGACTCAGTATCACCACTCATAACTGAGGGTTCCTGATTAATCTGAACTGAGCCAGAATAAAGGCTGAAATGAGCTCCCAGCAAATGAAGCAACGTATCTTGCAGGAAGAAAGTAAAAAGTTACATGAAAATTTCTTGAAATGCCATCCTAGTATTAACCTAAGTATGATATAGTATAATGCCGAACACCTATTCAGCATATATTATGTACCAGGCACCGTATTTGTGCTTGACGTTAATTCATCTATTTCTCTTAATAACCCCATGAGGCAGGTACTATTATTATCCCTATTTTAAATAGGAAATGAAGTCACATCAATGTTAAGTAACTTGCTAGGCTGGCTAGGAACATGAATTACTTTAGAACAATAAGAATATTATCGACTGATACTCAAGGATCCTAATTTCAGGGGACATGAAAGTTTTCTCTAGATTAAAAATAACTTCACAATTCCAAATAAAGTATGGAGTTTATAGTTCATAATAATGTACCAATGACAGTTTTTCAGTACGGCACCTTCTTCGAATGTACCATGGTGATACAGGATGTTAACAATGGGGAGAACTGGGCGTTCTTATTTTCACGTGTACTGTTTTTACAACCTTTCTGTAAATCTGAAATTACTATAAAATAAAAAGGTGATTTTTAAAAACCTTTATCTGAATACTTTTTAGAGGGAACTTGTCATTGAGTCGAGTCAGATAAGAACAATGTTATTCCTTTTGCTGAAAGACTGAAGAATATTAAAAACAGTAGGGCCCTCACAACACTGTGCATTTTACACGTAAGTGAGAGAAATGTTAAGGTCTCCATTAGTACTAACTTATTTAGCTTCAGAGACTTGTGCTAGAATTTTAAAGGCAAATTGGAAACTATTTCCTGGAACAACGCCTTACAGCATGCCTTTTGATACTTGGATTATATTTCTTAAATTCTGAAGAAATCTTGCTTTTTTCCCCCCTTCTGTGCATTTTTGGTGCTGAGCTGTTTCCGGTTTTCCCACACTCCTGCCTGTCAGAGAGAAGAAACCACAAAAATGCAGCAAAGTTTGTCCATAGAGCTGCAATTCCATCTCTAAAGGCTGAAGAGTTCTCTTGCCAGCAATGAGTTCAGGGCAGTGGACGGCATCTTCAATGTCCAGTGCTGCTGCCTGCTGACAGAGCCCACCTCCCGCCCCCCCAACCCCCCCCCGCCGCCCCGGGCAGACCAGCCAGCCACACAGGCCACCGTGGGCCATCTCAGGCAAATTCAACATTCATATCTGACTCACGGATTTTCCTACCTAACTGTGGGCTTTTTGAACCTGTGAAAGGGAGCATGGTTTTGGAATGCTTATGATGGCAACCAAGGCTCACTGAGTTCTTCTGTGGGCTAGGTCTTGTTCTGTGTACTTTACGTGTATTAACTCTGCTAATAGTTAGCAATGTCCTATGAAGAAGATACTCTTTATTATCTCCGCTTCAGAACTGTGGAAAGTGAGGCTAACAGATTAAGGACCTTGCAACTTGCCAAAGGTCTCCAGTTAGTAAACTGTGGAGTGAGGGTGTTAACACAGGCAGTCTGGCTCCAGAGGCTGCACCCTTAAGGACTCACCTCTACTCTTGCCAGGGTGAGAAGCCATACAGCTTCCTTCTTCCTGTGCTCTTGGCCTTCGACCACAACCTGCCCCCTTCCGACTGCCCTTCCCTCCTGCTCCAGAGAGTTCTGTAAAGTCATTACAATGCCATGTATTCCTACACGGCACTTGGCACCTAGTAGGCACCGAGTAAATATTTGTTGGATAAATGAATAATGGCAGCAGTATAATTAAAACAACCACGAGGGATTGGTTTCCATCCAAATCCAGAATTTGATTCACTGTCCAAGGGGGAAAAAAGAGGAACTGCTTTTTCCATGTCCTAGGATTCGTTCTTACAACTAAAATTGATTTTGCGAAGGACAAATGAATGGAGAGCCTTAATGAGAGCAAGAGAAATACACAAACCCCCTCTAGGTGTTTATCCATCAGGGAATGCCTGCTTCTTACAGGCATCTTTGAAAAGTTCCCCAATTTTAAATGGAGAAGGGCTGTCAGAACTAATACTCTTTATTAGTCTGTTTCTGGTTCGTTAGCTAAAATATGGCTGGAAATAAAGTGAAGGAAGGAATGTGAAAAAATTTGATTCAGGCATGGAAATGTCTTTTTGAGGTAAAATGGGCATACTACAAAAGGTATTAGAAATAGTTGCCCTACAGAGCCTGCTGACTAATGTCAATGAAGTTAACTGCCCCCGCCCCCCATGAAATCCCATTCCAATGTCTTAACATTCAAACGCCTAGGAGTAAACAACAAACAAGGGTTGGGGTGGGGGGGAGGTACTGAATTTTATATGAAATTATAAACCCGACCTCAGCAGGATTCACTGGCTCCCCAGGTGATTCTGACTTACAGCCCAGGCTGAGAACCATAGTTAACTTTTAGTCCCCAGCAGGGGTTCCTGTCTTCAACATTTCAGTACAAAGGATTTTGAAGGCCTCGTAAATAAAGAGTACTCTTAGCACAGAATTGATACAACTCAGAAGAAACTGAACAGAAGATTAAGGAAAACTTACTTGGAGGCCCTCTGGGATGTCGTCTTTCTGAGGACTTGTTTGTGATTGGCTGGGGGCTTGGGGACCAGCGAGGAGGAAGAACTTGGAGGTGGCACCACTTTTTGTGGCAGAGTGGTTGGCTTCTGGCCACTAGCTGTGGCACTTGAAATTCTGCAAGCTGCACCATTATTTACTGTCCACAAATTGGAGTTAGAGAGTGTCTGGCTGCCAAAGATGGCCTACAAGAGAAAGAAAAAAGATGGGCAATGGAGATGCCCTTTATAACCCATTTGCTATAATTTTTTAGGACAAATTTCTCTAATAATGCCAGTGCAGGGCCACATTCAGAGAAGGGAAATCTCTGGAAGCATAGAGTTGAGATGGTCTTGTTGGAAGTACACTGGGCTAGGAATCAGGGTATCTGGGTACTGTGTATTCTCCACCTGTGGCAATCAGAACAGCATTTGGTCTCTCTCGGCCTTTGTTTCCTTCAGTCAACAAATATTTAATGAATGTCTCCTACCGGGTGTCAAGCATGAGAAATAATGCACAAAACAAAAGTGGCTTGAAGCTCGACTCAACTCCAGCACACTCGGAGAACTGTGAACTCCTCTAGAAGACGAGTGGAAAGAAGCCGGTGTGGTAATGGTACAGTGAGCAGTGGAGAGAGGAAGCCGGAACAGAAAAGTTCTGTTAGTAACTTTTCTGATATAGTAACACCTTGTTGACCTAAAGAGTGACGTAAGACTTTACATTTTGGGGGTGCCTGGGTGGCTTAGTCGGTTAAGCGGCTGCCTTCGGCTCAGGTCATGATCCCGGGGTCCTGGGATGGAGCTCTACACTGGGCTCCCTGCTCCACGGGGAGCCTGCTTCTCCCTCTCCTTCTCACTTGTGCTCTCTCTCTTGCTAGCTCTCTCTCAAGTAAATAAATAAAATCTTAAAAAAAAAAAAAAAGACTTTACATTTTAAAACACCTTCACGGGCACCTGGCTGGCTCAGTGGGTAGAGCTGATCTCAGGGCTGTAGGTTCAAGTCTCCCATGTTGGGTATAGAGATTACTTAAAAAATAAAATCTTTGAAAAAATGAAATAAAACACTTTCAAAGTAAAATTACTATCGAATACTAGTTGCTAAATGAATCTAAGATCAACACAAAGGTATATTTGCTCAGAAGGTTAAGCCTACAAATGATCTGTAGGCTTAGAGGCACCATCTAAATATCACAATCTAAATATCCATCTAAATAAAAATCACCATCTAAATATCACAAACACCAACATATGTCTGTTAGGATGTAAATGTATGCTTTCTCAAGTACATGCTTAAAAAATTCTTAGAACTTATTTACCTCATTAGAAATTGGATTATTTTGGGGTCACAAATTTTGTTACTGATCATTCAATACTATTAATACTGCTTTCAATATGCATGCATTATAAAAGCTTTAAATGTGAAATAATACTAAGAGAAAAAGAATAAAATTGACAAAACACATAAGGTATTTTTTATTAAAAGGACTTCTGGCAATTGATTTCCATCTGTAGACACTACATTTAAAGAGACATGGGAGAAATGCCATTTCCTTATGGCAAGGCCTAAAGGAATAAGATCGGATGCTCTTAGGAAACATCCACCTTCTACATAGACTTTATTAGTATTGTCTTTTATGACTTTTATTTTTTAAGACATAAAAGATAAATTGGGTAGCTTTAGTAAAATGTTAACCAATCCTTCTATACTCATGCCTCGGAATGTCCCATTTCAGGGAAATGTGCCCAAAGGTCCTGGGCTAGGCAGGTCTGAGGGGGATCAAAGAGTCTTGTGTGGAGTAAATGTGTTTGATGCACAGGCCTGACAAAGAGCAAAGCGATTTCAGAGGAAGAGGGTCAGAGCATTTTCAAATGGACCAATCTGACTGAGATGTTCTTCATCTCTGCAAACCATCCAAAGGAGAAACTGAAGAGCTCTTCGCTTACCTCCGTCTCTGACCCAAAGAAGGGGAACAAAGGAAGATCCAAGCCCATGGGCAAAGCCAGGAGGTTGGCACTGGGTGGCGGGGATTGTGTATACGTGGGAAGGTCTAAGATGGTCGGAGAGGGCCCAGGAAGCCTGATTCTGCTCCAGCAAGGCTTCTGAGGACAAGTAACCAAAGGGCGCAGCAAGGCAGCCTCAAAAACAAATCCATTCCTCTCAGGCACCTTTTCCATACCTGAGGGTATGGTCTCCCCACATCTCTGGGAGACATTCGACTGGAGGGAGGGAGGCAGGAAAGGGCTACCGTAGGTTTCTGTTTTCACCACTACATCCCAACACATGACCCTAGATTGAAGAGTGCTTGAAAGATGCCTCATTCAGGCCTCTATCAATATTTTTGTTCATTATAAAGAAAGGAAGAAAGGAAAGAAAGGTGCCTCCTTCAGGCTAGGGAAGACATTAGAAATCAGAATGAGGGCTGAAGAGCTCTACAGCAGCCATCCATAGACAAATTCACTGAATGAGTAGCAGAGAAGAAAAGCCATTGTTAGCCATGGGCTCTTGGAAATGAAAATATTCCTTATGGAGTGCAATTTTCATGCTGTAAAGGAACTGCCATCAGTAAAAAACATCCATTCAATACATGTTGCCAAGGTGACAACTGAACCATATTTTCAAGATCACTGAGTTTTTATTTTGCTAAAAAATCCTGCTGGGACATCTAAATACAAATAAAAAAATCAATAAAAACAGCAAGATCAGAACAGTGTGAGTATAGTAAGCACCTATTTTTGTAAAATGAAAAAAGAATATGCATAACCACACACACACACACACATATACACACACCAACACACACAGATACACAAACACACAGAAAAACATACACATAAGGTTGGTATCTGCACAGAACAATTCTGAAAGGATATTAAAAAAAAAAAACTAGTAACCTCCATGGAAGAGAACTGGTTAGCTGGGGGTCCAGGAGAGAGGGAAACTAATTGTTTACTATATATCATTTATATCCTTTTGAATTTTGTACCATCTATATGTAGTTACTTATTACAAAAATAAATTATTCAAAGGTCAAAAGAAAGTCCAATTCTGTTAAGATTTAAGCACGTAACAAAATTAACTCAATACAAGTCAAAGCATCCAAATGGCACCCAAGTTTCAACCAGGTGGGTACAGCACTCCCTATTAGGGCGGGCTGAAGAAGGAGTTCACTGTTCAACACTTACCATATGCCTACAAATCCAGATTTGGTCATCAGTGAAAGGCAGAGACTCAGGTAAGTGGAAAATAGCATGGCTTTGCAGTCAAACGTGCCTGAGTGCAAATGTGGGCTCTTTCACTTATAAACGGGGTGACCTTTTCAAGTTATTGAAATTCTCTGGCCTTTAGCTTCCTCATAAGCAATTAGAATTACTTTGCTGGATTATTGGGGATTAAATGAAGATCACATATGTAAATCTAGCCCAGGCATTCAATTAAGGGTTCTTGTAATAGACCAAATATCAGGCTTATAGTAGACACTCAACAAATGCTCCATTCCTCCCCAAGCCTCCACCTCAGTTTACTGAGGAACCAAAGGATGGGATGACATGCAAGTCTGCCTATCTGTAATGATCTGTGACTGGCAGTTGGTTATGCATTTATCAACATATTTTTCTAGACTTATGATGATGCTCACTAGCTGTGAAAGCAAACTCTTAAAATGAAAACATGTGTTTAGGTTCCCCAGATCGTATTTACTCACTTCTCTCTGGCAGGAATAATCTTTTCCTCTTCTGAATGCTTGTAACAATTTCTTTGTATGTGTCTTACCACATTTAGTACATTCTACCTTGTGCTATGGACACTGATGTATGTACTTTTCTCTCCTTCTGGACAATGCACACTGGAGATGGCTGGATTGACATCTGATTACTTTTTGTTTCACTCACAGTGCCTAGACGGCCTTGTACAAAAAAGGTGCTTAATAAACATTTACCCCTTGGGGCACCTGGGTGGCTCAGTTGGTTAAGCGACTGCCTTCGGCTCAGGTCATGATCCTGGAGTCCCAGGATCGAGTCCCGCATCAGGCTCTCTGCTCAGCAGGGAGTCTGCTTCTCCCTCTGACCCTCTTCCCTCTCATGCTCTCTGTCTCTCATTCTCTCTCTCAAATAAATAAATAAAATCTTTAAAAAAAAATAAAAAAATAAACATTTACCCCATGGATGCAAATAACAAAACTCGTATTATAACCACTACTCACTTTTTTTGTTTGTTTGTTTTTGCAACAACCAAATTCCTATAACAAGAAAACAGGCAAGTTTGTGTTTACACAGAGATGTAATCTTGTACTAGGACCATTCTCTGGACTTTGAATAGGGCCTAATGTATTATTTGTGTTCAACTTATACTCAGCCACAAAATATAAGTAAGCCCTTCAGTAGATCCCAAACAAAAATAAATTCATCTTGGGGCGCCTGGGTTAAGCATCTGCCTTTGGCTCAGGTCATGATCCCAGGGTCCTGGGATTGAGCCCCGCATCGGGCTCCCTGCTCGGCCAGGAGCCTGCTTCTTCCTCTCCCACTCGCCCCTGCTTGTGTTCCCTCTCTAGCTGTCTCTCTCTCTGTGTCAAATAAATAAATAAATAAATAATCTAAAAAAAATAAAAAAAAAAATAAATTCATCTTCCTAGATGCAAATTTTATGGAAGGCCTTTAGATATTGATGTTCTGTGGTGATAAGATCAGCCTTTACCTCAAATAACAAAAGGAATTAGGAGAATTTATTGCTTAGGAGACTGTCACTTGTCTGGATACTAACACTTCTTTCCTTTTTCCTAATAATACTGCCCTTATTTTGTTTGGGTAATGATGTGTGCCCAGCTAAAAAATTGTATTTCCCAATCTCTCCTGTACTTAGAAATAGCCATGTGACATAGTTCTGAGATATAAACAGAAATTTCCAGGTGCAGTTTCCAGGAAAGCTCTTTAAAGAGGGGGGCAAACTGGGTTAGTACACAACTTTTGCCCCTTACTGTTCTTCCTCCCACCCAGAATATGGATATCTAGCGAGCATCAAGTAAAAGTTACTTCCTAAGGATTGCAAAGCATAAAGACAGGAAAAGCATGGGCTCGTGACAGTACCACAGAGTTCAGGAGAGCCTAACTCTAGATTTCTGATTATATGGGGGAAAAAAAAACCTCTAACTTGGTAAGTCATAGCGGGGAGAGGGGTCTGCTAGATGCAGCAAAATGAAATCCTAACTGAGCTG